ATGTTAGTCGTAATGTCCACTTTTTCCAAATAACCGTAAACAGGTTCGTCGACTTCTACCTTGGCAAAGCTTATTGCCCTTGATCACAGCGACATCGTATCGGATGCTTGGCGTGATGGCTGGAGGTGAAAGGGGGTCTCCACTTCTTTCACCTTCAGGGTCTTTTCGGCGTAGGATATCACGGCGCCTTGGGCATGGGAGCTGAGCCAGGGATCTCGTCCGTGGGTTTCGGGAAGGTATCCTGGGCGACGTGGAATTTACTTAGGGTTCTGAAAATTTCAATTTGCGCAGAGCCCAGTGTTCGGACATCGTCGTCAATGTTACCTTTTAATCTCAGATTGTACCCGAATATTGATTTGCACGGGCGCGTCGCCTACATTCATGTATATCGTGGCCGGGTATTCGGCAGTATGTACACTTCCGATCCGGGTTCCCCGCGGATGTCATTCTTGCCGATCTCGAATCCTGACGCAGAGTGAGGAACTCATCTGATTTTCGCGGGTAGCGCACAGTTTGAGATATAAGTGGCGTAGCTTTTCGCTAGTCTAGGTACGTTTTTCGATTGCGTAGAGAGTATCCCTGCATATATTAAATAATTCGATTCCAAAGATCTCTAGCTCCGTGAGTCTAATATAATTTTATGATACATTCCTTATCTTTGAAATATTGTTTGCCATATTGTGTCGATAGCACACGTGCTTGCATGCTATGTATTAATTATCTGTGCTTACAATATTTTCTAATTAGTTAATTCGCTTGTGCTTGTTCTATGTTTATAATACAGCGTGGTTACGTATTAGTTATAATTACTTGTAGGTCCAAATGTATTCGCTGTTCGTACGGTATGTTACGTCCTTGAATGCAAGCGGTAGTACAGTTTCAGTACCATTTTATAGCAGTTTTAGTACAAATTCAGTATATCTAGAGAAAACTTTTAGTACAGCTTCAGATCAGTGTCAGAACAGCTTCATTGCAGCTTTTACAACTTTCTGTGCAATTTCAGTACAATTTCATAACTATTTCATAGCAGCTTTACCACCGCTTCAGTACATCTTGAGAAAAGTTCTGGTACATCTTGAAATCAGTGTTATACCAGTTATCTTCTAAATTTATTGATAAAATTGTCATTAAACCAGAAACGGCTTAAAGTTAAATATGCAATAACTTCCTTATTATCCAGTTCAAAATTTACGGAAGTTCCACCATATAATATTGCTCTCGAAAATAATAAATATCGAAATAAATGAAACTAAATTTCTTAAATTTAATTTTAATATTTCTTCCTAATGGAGTATGAAATAAATTCCAGCTAGCACTAATGTTGGTGAATGAGTTAATGGTGAAACCGGAGTAAGAGCTGTTATTGCTATTACTAATAATGTATAAAGAGGAATTTGTGACCTTTTAGAAAAAATTATTAAATAAACGTCATTGTGATTAATAAACTTGTTATATAATATTAAATTTCTGCTTCCCAATATTATTACTATTGATATTAATATTTATTACGAACAATCTCCTAAACGACATAAACTAATTGCTGATAATGCAGAAATGAAAGACTTTTACAGTTGATAGGATACAGTTAAAATAGTCTAATAGCTAAAAAATTGTTGAGCAGTTGAATAGTTAGTGCTAATCCAACTCATCCAACAATAACTGCTAGCATATTAGATCTAATCACTAAAAAATATAAAAGATATAATAGTAGAACTATTAAATAGAATAACAGTTTAATTAAATAATTTTCTAAATTAATGTATCTAATTCTATATATTAAGATTATTCAACCAATGCTTGAACAAAAATATAAGTATTATGCCTTCGAATCTATATAAGTTATAATATTAAAGTTTATTGAATTCAATCCAGAAATGTTTCAAAATATAATAATAATAATTTTATATATAATAATATTTAAATTTATCATTATAAATATTAAACTACATAGAAATAAAGTAATACTGGAAAATATTAATTTTAAAATAATTTAGAATAATTTATGTAAATTATTGGTACTACACATCAGTGTTCTTTGAATGAAACTATTTAAATTGATTTAAATTAAAAAATTTAAATGAAATACGAATAAATATAATGAGACTGTGTGTAGCATTATGGTTAAGTAATTTATTAATATTCCACTTATTAAATTTATTTTAAAATAATGTACGTTCACGATTAATAACTAAATAAATATATTGAATAAATAATTCCGGAAGCTAAATAAATTAAGAATAAAATAAAAATTCTGTATTGAAATATTAAACTTATAAATAATATAATTTCTCTAACTATATCGAAAGAATATGGTAATGATATATTAGGTAATAATAACATAAACAAGATTGGAGCTTTTGAAAGTATTAATTTTTGCCTTAATTAATTTTTACAGGAGGCCTAAATAATACCTTAATTAAATGAACATGGATAAAATATTGTATAAATTGGATTAGAAATAGAATTTATTGTATTTTACTTAAGAAATAGGTGAATATTGAAATAACGTAAAATTGTCAATTTGAAATTAAAATTAAATTGGTATTATTAATATCCTTTTATTACATGTCTTAATCTAATGAATTCACATCTTACATCAAATATAGTATAATTAATAAGAACTTTTATTAAAAATTTAGTTCCACAAATAACACCAATAAATTGATTGATAGTTCCACTTACGTATTACACATTCGTTGCATTTATTAACTAATTTTAATTTTATATCAGCTAATCTAAATTTTAATTTAAATATAACAATGGAGAAAGATGAAATTAATTTGATAAACTTATTTGAAGTATTAGGTCCAATAACTAATTGCAGTTATATTCCTTATAGATTATTTATATTCGAACCAATTTTTATTTGTCCTAAAATATCTAGATTAATTTCAAATGGATAGAATTTAATTTGCTTGCAATTTTTGTATACTATATTTGAAGAATTTACAATAGTTTATACATTAAGTTCAACTATTATCATTTTTTAAGCTTATTAATTTGTGTACCTTTGTAGCATTCTTTATATAAGATTCCTTACATTCTTACTTCAACTAGATATTTAAATATTAATTTATACATATCTTTAACTTTTTGATTATCATTAATTATTTCTAATGTTAGAAATACATAGAAATTTTTTTTATTAGTTTAGTACCTTAATCTCACCTAGCAGTTTAATAACTTTTATAGTAATTATTCAATTAATTAGAAATATTATACAACCCATAACTTTATGAATTCGATTACGTTCAAATTTAATAGTTCGTCATTTAATTTTAAAATTATTCAAAAGCTTTTTAGCAAATTTTCTAAAATTATTTATTACTTCACTTTTTATTCAAAATATGTTAATAAGTTTTATATCACGTATTCACACTTACGTATTTTCTATATTAACACTGCTGTATTATTCAGAGTATTAAACTAGATAAATACATTAATGAAAAGTTAAGAAATGTAATTTTCCATTTCGTTGAGTATCCTTCAGACCTTGACTTTTACTGATTTCTTTAAGATTAATTAATTGCATAAATAATATAGAATATGATTTATATACATAATATTTAAAATACAATTTTTTGATAATTAAATATAATTGTATTAGTAATATTATGAATACGATATACTATTTGTGGAGGAAAATATCAAGGAATACATGCATGTATTAATCATATTATAAATTCTTTAAATTTAGACCAATTTTTGTTTATTTCAGGATTCTCACGTATCTTTTTCTATCTGGGACATTCTTCTAAACGTTGTTCTTCTCAACATTTGCACTAGACTCCACTCACAGGTATTTATGTCATACCAAAGAAATTTCATTTATTCTAACATAATAACCTAACACATATCAATCCCACATTCTTATAGATCCAATACTCACAAATTTCAGATAAAATTGACGTAAACATATAATTCTTAAAATTAATATTTCTATTAATCTAATTATTAAAATATAGTATATAATTTTCAGAAAATAATTTTAAAAAATATATACCAATAGTAATAATCCCTTACACCATAATTTTGACATCATTGGAGTTAAAATTCTCAATCTATAAGAAGGAGCTTCAACGAGTGCTTTTGATAATCACGAATGTACTAAATATATAGATGTATAGAAATATTAATTTTGTTATCATATAATTAAATTGATTTGAAATTTAAATTATTGTTTCCCATTAATAAATGTAAAAGGGATATTAATAAAGATAAAGAAAAATATGTAGCATAATATAATATATTAAATTATATTTAACTGAAATCCGATTTATTGAAAATCCTCAATTTATTAGAAACAAAAGATTATCAAGAGTCTAGCTTTAAATATGTAATAAAACAATAAAAAACTATGGAAATAAATAAATATAATGAAAGCAATATTATAAAATACTTTAGTAATAGACACAATCTATTTTTCCCATTTATGTTTACAAAAATTATTGAAAGAATTCATAAGGTTGAAATAACCAAGTTAAAAGAATGAAGTCTTAAACTTCAATCTAATAAACAAAATATTCAATCTAATCAATTAACTTTAAATAAAAATATAAAAGTTAATAAAGGTAATAAATTAGAATTTACATATGAACTAAGCTTTAATATGACAATTATAATAAATAAAATTAATAATGCCCTTAAATTTTTATTTTAAATTAATGAATTGAATTTTTCGATGACCATATATAATTTATTCTAATTATTAAGGACAATCCTAAAATTTCTTCTCGAACTGAATAAATTAAATATACACAAAAAATTCATCCACTATTACTTGTAATAGTTCAATTTCTTAAAATTGCTATTGAAATGAAATGAATTAAAGTTAAACAAATCAATAAATAGTTACTTTAATTAAATAATTCTATGATATGCGATATATGCGATCTTTATGAGAATCGAGCTGAATAGCAATACGGCGCTGCACATATACAAGATGAAGGTGCGCAGGGGGCTATCGTCGTCTGCCGAGTATGGTGCAGGAGCAATTGCAACAAGTGTGTGACCGCCACGTGCTTGCGGTAAATTTTGCTCGATTACTTTGTATTTTACTTCCTTATTTTAGTAATGAATTCCAAGAATATATATCATTTATATCACAGATTTCTGAAAATTGACCAAAATATGATCCTGAACGTAAAATAAGATAAATTGATTTATTCGCCCAGGAATTCCATCAATTTCAATGCCCAAAGTTGGAACTGCTCCAGAATGAATTATGTCAGTTGATGAAACTAATAAAGGTGAAGGTAGCATTATTGGAACTACTATATATCATTTGACCAATGTCATTGATGTCTAATGGATTAAGTTGAAAAAAAGGAATTTAATAATATATCAATATAATATGAAATTTCTAAAGATGGAAATCGAAGAAATAGTAAAATAATTAAAGGAATTGATTATTTATGATTAAACCAATTTTTACTTAAGCTAAAATATATCAATTAATCTGAAGTCGATAGAAATTAGTTTGATTTCTATTTTTAAGTATTATATTTTATGAATCTACAACAACTTATAAATAATTTTCGAATATTATTATATTCCTAAGTTTGGTATTTTATATAATTTTATAGCATTTTTACGTTTAATTGCTTAAATTTTTACTTCTACTAGACATAATGATGAGGAGCACCGATGAAGCAGTTATGGCTCCACACATCCAAAGGTATGAGAAACCCAGAATTTAAAAGAGCATGGGACGTACAAGAATACTTGAGACAAAACTTGGCTGTTGGATTTCCGGTCAACAAGTCGAATGACATGTGAGGTAACGATGGTTGAAAAAGGAGATATCACGCTGGCTGATAAAGCGGGGACGAAATAAAAGTCACGAGGCGCAGGTGAGGTTGCATTTAAAAAAAGGTATTGGAGAAAGGGAGAGACCAAGGAATGTATCACATGACCGAAACTATAACACAAATTTGGTATGTGGTGAAAGAATCACAGTCTGCGATTACAATATCAAATTTGCAGAGCATTGAGCTGATATCTATCGACTAATGTAAACTGCAGCGTCCAAGTTCCCACTCGCGGCAATATATGGGATCCTACTTGAAGGAGGTTCGAGGACTTTCACACAAGTCCACGGTGAAGCCGCGGATTCCTTTAAATAGATGTTCCCCGTGACACATAAGTATCCCTATGTCTAAGGCAGGGCCTGCTAAGCAAGTCTTACTGATGAGTCCGATCATCAGCCTGGGAAGAATCGCATCTCTTTCTATTTCCGCAGTCCTTCTATCTGCTAGCATTGTGTCATTAACCGGTAATCTTGTAATCTAGATCCATATCTTACTTCGCGGCTTATAAATATTTGCTCCTTTACGTCTTTTATTTTCGGAGATGTGACAAATTCATTACACAATGAATTCACGTTTCTACTCAAATATTTGATTTAATCCAATGTATTGTAACATCAAGTGTACCATTTAAGTATAGGCAAATATTTATGAATAATAGCGGTATAATTCTCAGAAAGATTGTAAAGCATATCAATCCACAATAAAAATGAATACGACGTAGATCTTTAAACAGTACAGATGCCTGTTTACAAAGGAGAAGGTGAAACTGGCGAATAACCTCTATGAGCACTACAATTAGCGAATGAACTATCCACTAGATGACAATATAATTCCAGATAAATAGATATAAAATTCTATTCTAGGTATAGAGTTATTATATGCCCTATTAACTACTTTTCTGTTTTTATTTTATTTCTTCTATTATGCATTCTCTTTCCTATAAATAGCAGTACCAGAGTGAGTAGTTTACCATAACTATAGTTGCGATATCGTAAACAGAAAAATTTAGTATATAATTATATATTTGCTCGAATAATCAAAATTTTTGTCTGAAGAGTGAAGATCAAGAACCACGTTGCACGTGGACACTATTCTCGTTGCGACAATGAAAATACATGGGTAGAAGTAAAGTGATTACCTTGATTCCTTAGAAGCATATATCAGGATCGGAACACGTTAACCATATAACGGGATCATTCAATATATTCCTTCCTGACCTTTCCAAGCCGAACAAAAGATGAATGTCTCTCACAGAAACTACACTTTGCAGATTGGCACTGTGAATATGTAAACGTGTCCTCGATTCTTTCGTGGTTTGTAAATTGGTATGGATATAACTTTTGTGGATTATCTTCGTTGATATATCAACAAAAATAAATTTTTTTCTGAATAATACTATTTGAGGACGTGTTACTATAATTAGCTTATGTATAACTGTTATTCATTTGGAATTGAATATTAATTATAAGGTACTTAGATTTATGTCATGTACTATTTGGACAGTACTCTTATAAAACATGTTAATGAAATCAGTTTACGTACGTTCTCTATTTATTCAGAAATAAATATTCATTAGTTATTGTTTATATTTATATTTATAATATTAGTATAAAGTTAACTCTTATATGAAGATAAGCCTTATTCAAAATTAATATTCGAACCGAATTGATTTATTTTAGGACAGAATCAACGAAGCTACTTTTCGTGGATAATATATACATTTTATCTGCAGAATACGTTTCGAGTATATTTTATGGCATACGCGGTATTTTACACGATTATCGTGAATATCGTAAGAGGATTGGAAATTTTACAAACATCACTGTTACTCGATTAAAATGTTTCAATTAATTTTGGTTTCACGGATGACATGATATCTATAGCATTATCGGCAAGCCTAATGGCAATACTCGCTATTCTTTCACTGTTTGCTTAACAGTAATATCGAAGTTTAGTATAACGTATAGCACATTAATTGTCATTTACTGAAATTAAATCTTATCTGGAATTTACAATTATACGAAGCTAAATTTTACTAGAGTAATACATATTTATCCACATTTACAAATTACTGTCATATTCAAGTCAGCATTCGCATGAAATTAGGTTACATTATTTAATTTTGTTTCGAAGATGAAATAAATTTCATTTACCACAATTATTTCATACTGCACTAAGCTCTAAATACTCTACTACTTACTGCTATGTGTTATAACTGTCCATTATAATTTTTATTTCATAGAAATTTCTCTTAATTCTACTATTTAAATATATTATTTTACTAAAGGTATATATTTTGTTCCAGTCCCCACTCTAATTTGCCAAAGGTAACCAGTATTCTTAATTTCATTTGGGATTTCGGATAACTTACTCGAAAGGAAGGTATTTCCTAAATGGCAGTACAGTAGTGCACATAACATACGTTATAAGTAAATATTTAGTAGTATAAAATATTAGTTAGTTGAACATATGTTGCGTAAATATTTTATATATACTTAAAGTTTGTCATAAATGAAACTTAACCCCATTGCAATTCTTACCTCATTTCATTAAAAAAGAAAAGAGTGACAACTAACAATACTAATTCAGATTATGATCAAATCAATTCCCCAACGATTATTATTGTAAATGTGACAAATATTACTTTGGGTAATATTCAAGCCAGGTCTTAAGTGTTAACTGAATATAATTATATATAATTCAATACAATTGCATTGAAATGTTATGTTCACTTGTCTACTTCCAATTCATGGTATTACATGCGCGCTTTGGAACTTATGTTACATAAATCATATACACACTATGATGGGGTATTATACACTGTAGCAGCACAAAAACATACGTGTAAGAAATTTAGGATGAATTTGATTACTTAAAGTGTTAACACGTTGACGCCGGCGTGCATTTCCAGTGGGTCCCGTGAGGCGGCGTGCTTCACGGTGGGTCACGCATATATTTCATAAAATATTTAATGCAAAATAGGTTTATGTAATATTATTTCAACATTATAGACAAGCATTCGATAGTAGATACATAGAAATTAAATATTATAAACTAAACATAATTATTTAATCTTCTAAAGCATGTTAAATAGAGTGCCGGCTGGTCCGTACAACGATTACAGTAGGTTATAACATTTCTAGCCCTATTTGCGGCATACTGCTCACCTTTCGTGCTGGAGATGAGTTTGTATCATTCTTTGCACCGCTGTCTCATTTTTCTCGCGGGCCCTTGGTACGATTGAAGAAAACGCGAAGTTTTTTTGGCAGTACTTCATTTTCGCTGTGCGTTTCTTCGCTGTGCGAATTCATTGTATTTAAAAGATAATCAATAATTGCTTTGCGAAATTTTTAAATTATAATCCTTTTAGTGACCCATTTTATGCGTATATACCATGTATTCACGTGGGATGTATACGAATATTAATTCTATTATAATTTTCCTGTACCATCTTACGACCCTATCGAAACTACTATAATATGAAGACATTGCTTGGATAAATCAACCCCCATCTTAGCTGCATTATATATAAAAAAAAAACAGTGTCTAACTTTAGTTTATTATTTTTTCATCGATCTACGATACACCTGTGATTTCTTGAAGTAGTTCACATACATACTGTCCTTCTGCCCGTCCATTTAAAAAATTTAACAGCGCTCGTATTTTGCAAAGCAATAAAGCCAGAAGTAGTTACTTCTGCCTCGCCTGCCGCGGTATAAATATTTGACTCTCTTTTATAGTCCCACAAGTGAATATACCTTTTTGCAAAATGTCCTCGGCTAAAGAGACACTCGTATTAAAGCTGTCGGTAAATAATATGTAGCCCTCAAATTATAATGCTTCTATTAATGTAATCTCTACGTCATGCGCATATGTTTTCACAATTGCGGTTTCATTCTTTCCGGCATACATATTGATGTTGTGGGTGTCCTTCCGGAAGGCATAGTTTATAAATTTTTATGCCACACAAATGCAGCTTGCCTGGAATATATTGCCGAGAACTGTGGCGTCCTCTCCACGGAAAAATGGTTTCGTCAATTAAAATATTTTTAACAGATTTTACAGAATTCTGAAGCGTGTGGACAATTGCATCAACAATATTTCTCAGTTTATACAAACGGTTCTCAGTTCTAGCGGTGGAATTATCGAAAAAATATGAGTATTTCAATATTGATATAAACCGATCGCCTTCCATCGCCCTTTTTATACGTGTGTTCGAATACACGTCTGTTTGCAACAAATATAATCTAATTTCAGGTAGCCGCAGTACACCCATGATAAGCAGGGTACCAATAAAGGTGTTCATTTCTTCTTTTGTAAAAGGCTGCCAGGCCTGTTGTTGTCTTCTGCTGCGAATTGCAGAGTGGTTCATGCATTCGGTAGCATATTTATTCGTTTCCGCAACGATCACTAATAATATGTAGCCTGTGACGAATAATTTATACAAGAAAACAGGGTCGTCGCTGTTCATGTCATCAATTAACAGCTCTTCTTCTTCCCAACATACATTCGTGGCAGCACCTCCTTCGATTATTTCCTGCCATCCGTCATCAAGGTCACCTTCCTCTATATCCGAGTCGAAATATTCTTCTTCCGTGGTACTTTCGTCCAGCTCAATAGCTAGCGGTTCGCTGTCATTGCTTGCATCTTCCGAAGAGGTTGAGAGTATTTGCGACCTCTGTACATTTCTCCTGATTCCAATGATTGATTCACCAGGCGAATCTCTGATTTCCATATCGAAGGATTTATCTATTATTTAGATGTGCAAAAAAAACAGAAAAATGTTATCCACCTTTCATGGAGGAAAGAAAATTTTGTATACGTTAACACATACTGGAAGAAATGTGTGCTCAGGAAACTCGATATGTCAGAACTCTGCTGACCGCGCACCTCATAGGAACTTCGCACAACCCGCAATACTTGCAATGCACACTAACTATGCTCTTCTTTGCTTGCTGTTATATCTAAACGCTCAGAAAACCTCGCATTATAGTCTAAATGCTCAATAGTCATCCCCAATCACAGGGTCACACATTACATCCAATAAATGTCAGCTGGGGCGTATTCGTTCTCCCAAAAGTCACTGACTTCGCCCAGAATGCGTGGGCTGCCCTAAACGTCTAATGGGGGCGACGAAGCCCCAGGGGCAGGTCAATGTTCGCGCACCCCGCGGCCCGTGATCGGCGAAGGAAAAGGGAGCCGACTTCTGGAAAATCTGCCGTTTGTCCTCAACGACCCTCGAAACAAACCCCTAGTTCGGAGTCCCATCAACTCGCACCTTAGAGGTTATTTCCGTACAGCGCGTCAACATGCCTCAAGTGCTAGGGTCTGGTAATTTACATCTGAAGCTTACACTATATCCCAGCACTCTGTTCGTCGTGCATGATCCTTACGCGCGCCGTGGTTCTCCAACAGACATGCATAACTTTTCTTTTCTTTGTACAGAGTTGAAAAATTTTCTGATCCGTGTTGTAAACGTTTCCTATAGCAAGGTAATAACAGAATAGCGTCCGATGGCTACAATTCACGTCAAGCCGCTACTTTTTGAGAAAAATCGAAAACAGTGCTCCAATATTAAGGACTGTTCCCACTAGCTCTACTTAACACTTTCATGTATATGCAAATTGTTATTGCGAAACTATTTCATATGAATGTATTAAATGAAGTGCACGGAATTCATTGAATCCAAAGGGAGCCGTATAGGTTTCGCAGTTTTGTTCTAAATTGAAGTCAAACTTGACAAATTGCGATTTTTCACGAAATCAATTCTCTCAAATCTGTGGATGATGAACAAAAACTGATTTCATATTCGTTTTTAGCTCGTCGCGATCTATATGCTTCACCTAGTGGGTATTACCGCGTGGGTATTATATTCAATCGTATAATCTGGCGCTGCGCTGCCCCACGTAGCAGACAGTGATTTTGTGCGCCGCCCTACTGTCACTGAAGTCACGGAGCAGTCACTGAATTCGGTCACCGGCGTCAAAACGTTTATGCGCGTAGTGAAATACATTATCAGAAGATGAAATAACCCAAAAACCATTATGTTCGCTTCGATACCGTGAATAGTCCATTTCTATGCGAAAGGACATTAATAAATGAAAGAAACAGCGGAGATGACAGCCAACGACCACATCCCTCTAGCCGGTAACAAAGTTACTTAATTTCTCGACTTGTTTTCCATTGTACATTTAAACACAGTGTTTTTCTTGCCTGATTATTCTGCCCGCATGCTTGTCAATCCGTTACCATATATATTTTAATATCTACGTTCAGACCATAAAATTCTATCTCTGAGATCGTTGAAACTATATACCCATGAAAAATATGTACATTTGAAGTAACATATGTTAAACTATTTGATATTGTAATTACAAATTCAGAACTTTGAGAAGAATTGTTCTAAGATAGTAAAATCCTTTCAATAGCAAAAAATATTCGGGCAGCTTTTATTATAAGAATAATAATAGTTCCACGAGGGTCTAATGGAGAACATAAGAATACGAATTTTTATACTCAACTTCTAAATTTCACCTAATATTATGTAGTTCAAAGACAATAATGTAAACCTCTCGATACAAAAGGAAGTTCCAAGAGAAGCAATACAGTGATTATTAATAAATAGCTTTAACATCAGTCATTTCTACTCGAAACCTGATTTTCTTTTATTAGAAGTTGCGAATAGAGGTTTAATTTTGTATGACCAATGTAACGTTTAATATTACCCCATGTTTGTCTAATTCTTTATAATCTCGAGTTGCCAAGGAATACATCGCGGATCTATAGGGTGGTAAATTGATTGCTCATCCGGGGATTGCCGTAGTTCGTATAAATTGCAGCGTGAACTGTAATTCATTGCGCTAGAGATTTAGATGAATGGCGCTCACAAATTGTCAGATATCCGACTGTGGTGAATAAAATAGAGTTGGATGACTATGAATAAGCCTAATGGAATCTTATGCATTCGTAATTGGCTGACATTCCAGCTACGTTATACGAAATGGGTTTTCCAGGCATGAAATATATGATGACGCCTGAAAGACTTTCCTTGCGACCGAAAGCGAAATTCTGGCATTAATATTTAAAGGAAACATATGCGAGCCATTCTGTTTACCTCCTGCGTAATGAATATTTCTTTCCGTCTTTTTATTTCATTTTGGACATAGTTCTATGAACTGATTGCGAGAATATAACAAAAAATTGTAAAATCGCTTTAGATTTTAAATACAGCTTCTAATTTGTTGTGTACTGTAATTTCTATGCATCTCTACAGAATTCATAAAACTTTTTGAAGAAATATGGATGACTCGCTTGAAGAAAAATTGTTTGACATTACGTGGTACTAGCATTGTTTGACATATCTTTCGTTTCTGTATCATCGAATGAAATTTATCGTGAGCACTTGCTGTTAATCGTTTTTCTGATGTCTTGTGTAATTCTTCTACCTTCAGTTCTAATTATTAATTATTGCACAATTAATATTTTGTTACCAATTTGTCAAACTTGCCTATCACATAATCAAACCCAAATTTGTAAAAATATACAGGTATTTCCCGTCCGTCTTATCTGTCCTTCTCTATCCCCCAACCTTATATATATTTCGAAAAATCTTCAAAATGGTTCAATTTATATCTACTAGCTAATTATGTACAACATAGGAAGACTAAACTATTGGAACCATAGGCTCACGAATTGACATAATCACAGAATAGATACTCCAAATCGAAATATCTTTCACTGCTATCTTTTCCAGACATTGTATCCATTACTGAATTCCATCAAAATCCATGCAAACCAGTAAATGGATCCCTTTCTACCGCCGAACTGAGTTAACAAATTTCAGAGTAGAAGATGCTTCGAATTGAAAATACTCCGTTAAGACGTATATTCAAAATTATCGCTTGAAAATTAATTACTTTCCATACTCCAACTATTATTTTTACTTATACGATTTATTCATAAGCTCAATAAAATTCACCCAAACGTATGCAGCCAATCGCATCCAAATATCATAAAATGGACTAGTTTTTTTGCTTTCGACTCCCAAGAAGGTCCAGTATTTCCTATTGTAAGTCATGTATAAATAGTAATTCGATTGAAACCGATTACTGCCCATTCCCTAACAATATAATAACGTTCACCAAGCACATATATCAACCTGAACCAACAACGCGCACCCACATCAGACTATCCCTAAGGTCGTCAGGATTCTATGGAGATAACGAATAATTCACTAACGCTTCTTCACTCGTCATTCAATGGTCACTGTACCAAAATAACGCACAGCTCGCTCCACAGTTGAGCGAGAAGAATGAATGGTCGGTGAAACAGGTATTTAGAATAAGCAAATCAATAAATCCCGAATTCCCTACGGTATATAAGAGGAATTAGCAGCGGTCGGTTCCGGCTGCTACGCGTTTTACGTGCCGCCTCTTTTCGCCTGAGCTACGCGAATGCGTGAAATATAGTGGATCGAAGAGCGGGGATTTTTCTTATGCGGCACAGTTAAGCACCGGCCATAATTTAATACGGGTGTGCGGCAGCGCAACAATGTACACGCTGCCCAGCGCGTTCTGTATACATACTTGGCCGGCTTCCAATCCGCGGCACCATCGCGCCGTTGGTCGCCAGACATATGCATCTGCTTTTCCAACACCAAAGCCACATGTAAGGGAAGTAATGGCGCATCACGTTTCTGAATGTACAGCTTCCGACCGCACAAAAGAGACTGTGTGAGCCATAGTGGCGAGGGAAGGAGCTTGGTCCCACTCGCGCGCCTATCACGTTTTCCTCGTCTCACGATCCTCGCTCTTCGCTCACCAGTGATTGTCCTCTCGGCACGCTGTTGCGTTGAGCGTCTCGTTTATGGGTATTAACTATTTGTGCTGTGAAGTTTTTTCGCGGTGAATACGTAACAATTCTGAACTTTTCATGTATGTACTCATGGAATTCGGTTAGTGTCATTTATGATGGAATCAAATTAGAAAATAACGAGTATTTCATTTCCATATCTCACGTGAAGTTTCTTCTAGTCCAGTTATTATCATATAGTTGCCACTTAAGCTAAACAAACGTGTTAAAATTGCAATTGACTTGAGACCACTTTGCTCGATTTGATTATGGGGTCTTCTTGGGTTTTTAGTTTGTGAACTTTACACTCATGATTTACATTCTTCTTGTATTATTATCCTGATGCTTCTATGTATATTACTCGCATGATTTTCCGTCGCTCTAAGTGTTTCGTTTCCAAAAACAATTTTTCCGTTGATACTTCTTGTATGCGAATATTCATTACCATTGCTAATGCTTCTATATTGTTTCGTTTGGGAATATTCATTATAAATTAAGCTTCTCTTTTTTATCATAGTCCACACCGTGTAAATCATCACTCAATTAACTGTACGCTCCTTCACAATGTTCCACATATTACGACTAATTTTCGGATATAATTCTAATTTGTTCCAAGTTTGCACACCTAAAACCAAAATCATACACTTTCTTCCTGATCTGTGTTTTAATACATTTTTGAAGTGACTATTTTAGCACCAGAATGGACATTCTTCACCATCATTTATTGTTTTAATTATTACATTTAAAGGTTTTAACGATTGCTGTTATTAGTCGACTAGAATTATTTTCTTATGTAAACTGTAGCTTAATTTTACTTCAATTACGATCAATGATACTATTCACGTCATGGGCAACACGTGTTTCGTTAAGAACCATTCCAATTAA